AGACTCGAAAATTATCGTCATCGCCGTCACACGCACACGCACGCATATAGATGGGTTCGGCATGGTAGTGCCACTGCCAATGGCGCCGCTGCAGCAATCCCCAAAAGCTTACTGGCCTATATTTTCCAAGCGATCGTACAATAATAATCGGGACATGTGCTCGAGGTGGTCTACACCTAGTACATGGTGCTATATATATAGAGCACACAATAGGGTCTAGTGCGTGAGGCGTATTATATGTTTAAGGCAAATCGCGGCAGACGCGGCATAGACTGCATCGTGCCCTATTCGTCGTCGTCGTCTACGTCGTCTAACACCGAACTCGACGCGCGCGTCACAATAGCTCACACGCACAACCATCTCCCATAATGTTCCGGCTAGACTGCATAACGCAAACACACACACTCAGACATACGTAAGGCGTCGTATAGGTAGCCTCAGACGCGGGGTGAAAACAGCTTTTGATACACATTACGAAAAGGTGCGTCGGTTCACGCACTTTATTGTATGATGAATGCGTGCGTATCGGAATTCATTTAAGCTTTGAGTCGGAAATCGGCTTCTACACAATCGTGCATATGCTCGAATCGTTCATTTTTTCAAAATGATTTGTGCCACAACTCTTGTTACAGATTTTGTCTTTTGTTTCTAAGCTTCTCTTATATTTTATTGTTGTATAAGTCGTGGATGAGCAATTACATGTCGATGATCCAGATTTTCACCATTTGACTGTTTTGCTGCTGCAACTAAAAATTGATTACTGGAAATGAACTTTCGCCCAATTCCGAATATTCCGTCACATGCAGGCTCTATACATCAACGATGCTTCCAGTGCTTTCAATATATTAAACGCAGATCCTGCAGCGCAGTTCGTATTCTAATGTTGTATAATATAGGCAATACAGTAGCAAAGATGTAGTTAAAGAGCACAAAGCCTTTAACCAGCTTTCATCCCCCTCTCAAATGTGCAGCGCACGTTTGTGTATTGCTCCATATCGTGAGCGCGTGTACGCGTCTATGTCTATGTCTGTGTCTGTGTGTGTGTGCAGTCTATTTAGCAATCGGGCATAATAAAGTCTAGGGCCTAGGAATAGGGCGTATATATCTCACCCTATGTGCTCTAAGCGAGCGAGACGTGGGTTCCCCCCTCCCCCTTTTCTGTCTCTCTCTCTCTCTCTCCTTATAATATACGAGACGACGAAGCAACCTTGACCTCGGCGTTGACCTAGAATACCCGTTCTCGAAAGTAACACTAAGGGCTCTCCGACGCGCTAGTCTCGGCGAGAGAGAGAGAGAGAGACCGAGAGAGAAAAGAGGGAGGGGGGAATCACACCAGCCGTCTCGCTATTATATTCTCTATTGCTCGTATAATAGTCCTATACGTGCTATGCCAATGTGTGTGCGTGTGCGTGTGCCTGCATATTCACCTATGCTAGTCTATAGGCAGAGAAAGAGAGTTTAGATGCAGGATCGTGCAACAGAAGCAGCAGTTGGGACACGCGTTCGCGCGTCGCAAATTTTTTAGACGCACGCATGCTATACAGGACCTATAAACACGCATACACACACAGAGTCACGAGCGAGTAGCTTGAATTCGTATTATGTAGCTTTTTTCGGGCCTAACAATATATAAAAAATGCCCAATCTTTTTTGTCCGAAAGCGCACAGAATTATATGTAGGAGACGGGGCATGCAACTACAATATTACACACACGCGCGCACGATGTGTGTACACAATGCACACGATGTTTTCGTCGAGAAAGAAAGGCCTAGACGAAAGCTTAGCTTCTCTTGTGGTCGAGCGTTTCAATGGATCATTGGATTTTTTACAAATATAATATATTTATATGAACACACAGTATGTGTATCGTTATGTGTAGAATATGTGACGAAACGTCGAGGCGTTGCGGAGAGCTGCGCCACGCGCATACTAATAACGCCTCGGTAATTGATGGATTGTTCCGAATGTGCACTCGATCATCATCGTGATATGGCTTAGGCGCGATGCGTATGATTGTTATTCATAACGACAGAATGAGCGTCAGTCGCGAATTACGCATAGAATACACCTGAATTTGGAATTTCTGACGTTGAATAAATTAACGTTGCTCGAGTCATCGTGATATTATATTTTTTGATAACATAAAAGAGCATGACAAAGGAGTCTCAAAATGTTGTCATCTCTTCTAGGGCAACTGCTGCCTTTATATACAAAACTACTACTACTACTACCACACTTGCGTTATATATAGTGTGTGTATGTATAACGCAGCACGAGTGCACACAGTGGACGCCTCGGCTCTCTCTCGGGTTCACAGTCCGCGTTCAAGGACAAGGCTACGCGATAGTGCGGCTGCGCACCACAAGCACTACCAGCAGCAGCGGCAGTGGCAGTGGCAGCTCCTTTCGCAGAGAGAGACGCGCGAGAGCATATATACACACTATGTAGGCACCCTTTTGTGCTGCTGCAGCAGCAGAGCTACACGTTTATCGAAACACGTTCTAATGCTTGTCTCTCTCTCTCTCAAGTCTCTCTACTATACTAGTTTAGTCGTGCTTTGGAGTTGGAATATTTTTTCTCGTCTATAATTCGATTGCTTGTTATTTTTCGCTCGGTACAAGCTCTACTTACGACGTATCGTGAAATATGTAAGAAAATAACAATTGGTACCGAGCGCTATTACTGGGTGTAATGCGCTACTGAGGGGTCGCACGCAGCACAACACGCAGTGAGTCACGTTAAAGGCAAAGTGCATTTTGCACCCCCTCAGTTACACGATTACACGTGCGTATATATAGCACACAGCCGAGCAGCGGCGAATTTAATATTATTATACGCTATCGTATGCGCGCTTCCTGGCAACATCGGAGCCGAGGTGCACTGTGTAGCGTTTGTGGAGCACGATCGATATGTGCACCTACGGTTTAACGCCTGCACCGTACGATATGTATTCGTAACGATCGCACGCACCAGAAATCGAGCGCGACTCGCCAATCGAATGCACACCGGGTTGCAGTTTATTTATAAATATATAACATCGTTATAAACTATTTTTGCGCAGAAGTGAAAGTGCAAAAACTTTCCGATATGCTGCAGACTTTTGCAAAAATGCCCCCTGCTTCTTTTCTGCGTCTCTCGAGCTCCATGGCGAAAACGACGGAAAAATTGAATTTATGTTGCTGGCGTTACATTATACTTTATTATACATAAGATTCAGCACTCCTGCGCTCTGGCGTGGGGGTTTTTCGTTCGTAACAATTTCTCCGCGGTAGTTTTCGCGCGCCCGGTAGCTACTACTAAGCTACGTATAATGCAGCGATGCACGCGTAGCGCATTATAGTATATATATACCAGCGACAGTGAATTACTCTCACTTTCGGTGCAACAAAACTATCTCTCTATTCCACTATGCTGTGCAGCGCACTGTATGTAGGATAGAGAGATACATTGGGAGTACGGAGCGAACGGGCAGCTCTATTACTCGCGCGCGAGAGAATTTTCCAGTTTCACCGAATGAAAGAGGCTTTCTCGATGTTTACTTTATAATGATCTCTGCGATTGTCGGCGATCTTATACATGAAAATAGATATTACAACGTTGAAAAAGGTGCGATTTAGCTAGATCGATCGTGTAAGTCTTACAAATTGGAATAATCGCATTTTCTCCAAATAATATTTTACGTAAAAAGGATTATAAGCGAGCTGGCAGATTCTTGGAAAGTACGAATAAATCGTCAAGCGTTGATATTTTTAATGATAAAAAAGGATCGAATATTTTTTGCAAAAAAGAAAATAGATGTCCGTAGAATGGAGCGCAAGAAAATGAAGCTTTTTTAGTGTATATTGCAATAATACCGATGTCTCGATATATTTCATTATGAAAATCAGTCTCCAGATAAATATGTGAAATATGTGAAATATGTGCAGTTTAATGGCACCGATTCATTTCATTTTTAGAAATTCGCTGGACCAACAAATCGAGCTTTCGAGTAAAATTTTTTAAACTTTCCAGCAGACTTCGAATCTAGAAAACTCCAGTACCAGGAAATATCGAAAATTCTTGTTTCGGTACATCATAGTAAAAAACAGACGATGAAGCGAGCCTAAACACGAATAAATAATATAACTTTTTTCCGTTTAAGTGCCCTTTGTACGTGCAGCATTATCTGCTGTAGCACATCGCCGCCCCTCAAAAAAGCTCGCCCTTGCACGCAGCCTGTTCTTTCCGAGCCTAGGCGCGGACTACAGTGCCTCGAGGTTGCGCTTGCGCTCTGCAGTGCGCGTGCTGTTTTGCTGTGTGCTCGACGACGACGAGCGAGACATTCGCGCAGTCAGCGGCAGCAGCGGCATAATACACGGCTTGCGGCGCACACACTCATATACGAACGCCGCGCGAAACTCGTGTGTGCAACGTGCATGTGCACATGCACATGTATACATTATACATAAGACACACAGGCAGGCAGCAATCTATATAGGTAGTCAGCAGCTCTCTTGATGCAGACAGCCCCTCATGCCTCAGTCCATATTAGATGCTATATAGATTGCAAAGTCGCACGCGTGCGCGCAGACAGACACACATTGGCGCAGCAAGGCTACCTTTATGTGTATGTGTGTGTGTGTGTTTCTGTGTGCGAGCTGCGTTTTTCAAGTGCATGGCTACGGTCGAGCCGCCGCCGCAGCAGCAGTGGCAAGTAGTAGTGGCGGCTGCTGCTGCTGCTGCTGCTATCACGATGGAGGGGATGCGAGATGTACGAATACCGGGTGATGCATGTGTGAGTGTGCCGTGGATGCTATACATTCGCGCGAGGCAGCCAACACCGGGGTGGGGATGAGAATTCGCGCCACCACCGCCTCGCGCCGGCTTCTCGTTGCAAATTGTGCATGTGTATTCCGTGTCTGTGTTTCGCGCGCGTCCGTGTGCGTGTCTGTGCACGACGACGCGCGGGTTCGCTGCTGCTGCGTCTCTGCTGCTGTCTGTGTCCCTGTGTTTGTGTGTGTGTGTGTGTGTGTCTACCGTGTGTATGTATATGTTTTTGGCGAGGAACAGGCAAACTCTCGGCGTTCTCGGCTTAAGCTAAAGACCCCAATGAGCGCTCGGCCGCCGCGAGCGCGAGTGCGCTTATAAAACGCTATATACATACATATACAAAAATATACACACGTTCACATAATACAGCAGTGCATTGTGTCATATACATACGTGACAGCAAAACGGATAGTACACACAGACACGCAATCGATGTTTACATGAAAAAACGAACAACAAATCATCGTATATACCTACGTACAAATTTATTGAATTCTATTGACGAACCTCCTGCATCGTACTCTCGATCTTTTCGATTGTTTCTTCAACCTCGCTGAGAAATCGCCGATCTTTGTTGAGTTATTGTGCAGTTTGTGATCCTGATATAAAATTGTGCTAAATTAACAACGACGACAACAATAACAACAGTGGCAGCAGCAGCAACAATCGTGATCTGCAGATTCGATTTTGTTCGTAGATGTGTTATCAAAGGACAATAATATTTCCACAAAAAATATAAGTGACTCCGAGCTCCAGCAAATTTATTTTTTGAAAACAAATACAAAATACAATTAAGAGAAAAGTAAAAAATTATAATACAAGGCCTTTGCTTCTTCGTTTCATCGCTCTTTTTTGATAAAAACGGAGTGACGACAAAAAGAAGTGTTTCTGCGGACGAGCGCGTGTGTGAGAGTGTTTCTTCTACGTGTACATCGATGGTGTTTTGTTTTACCTCGTGTCAACAGTGTGCGTATATTACGTGTATACGAGAGGATTATTAAAAAAAGAAATCATTATTCAAGTTTTTTGATATAACCGAATAGCATATGTTTATAAATAACACGAGAGTGACCTTAAACTTGAAATTTCTCAAAAGTGTGTGTGTGAGCGTGCGCTACAATATCGAAGTTCGCCTGTCATTTTGCCTGTCGAATGTTACCACGATAGCAAAATAAAATCGCATGAATTTAATCAGACGACAAGAGTTCTAGTGCAGCGAGTGAGTTTTCAAGTGATCTGACGTACTCGAAGAATATTGATTAACCATTTGCATACATTGCACTTAAATAAAAAATAAAACAAAAAACAAACAAAAAATAAATAAAAGATATTTAACTCAACTAATTCACGCATCATATACAACGTATACTCTACTATTTTTTATGTACTAAATATACATGCATATACCAACATATATATTCACTTTAATCGCAAAAAAGAACGTTTAGAGGGCTCTATAACATTTGTAACTCGTATACATTGAGCAAAATATATAACATAACATATATATTTATGAATATATTTACATGGATATATTTTAATGATCTTGTACCGACAAAAAAATTAAGGATTAATAACTTGGTATACTCTCTGATACACGAAAAAAAAATAACAAACATCCACACTACTCACGATATTGCCTGCTATATAGATCATATATCATTTGCTAACAAAAGTTAAGGTGTTCACCTGAAATATATATATTTATCTACTGATAAAACGCACGCGAGCAGCAGCAGTAAGAAGAAAACAGCGGGGAGAAAAAAAATACGAAATATTTTTTGTGTGTGCATTATAAAAAAAAAAAGTGACAGTGACAGTTTTTTATAGATCAGAAAGTGCCATTACACGGTAGAAACGAGCGAGAGAGAGAAATAGAAAGAGAGAGTGCAAAAAATACAGTGAGTTCTATAATGCATTGACATAGCCAGTGGGCAAAGAAAGTGAGTGTGTATATTTTCCTGCACGAGAAGCAGTAGTGTGCTGCACGTATATTATTTACATATATATCAAAATATATCTATACGTGTGTGTGTTGTTGTTGTTGTTGTTGTGCGTCGACGTGAGACTGTGTTCTATCCTTCGGACGTCTGTGTGTGAGTGTGCTCCGCCACGCTTCTCTACTCATATACTCGTCGCGCGCCGCTGCAAAACACGTGTGAAAGTTGTGTATACAGCATACCTCTATCTCTCTATGCACTATTGAGACGTGTACACTAACACACGCATACGAACAACACTTCTAGCAGCAGCAGCAGCAGCAGCAGCAGCATCGTATCGAATTTGCGATTCGCGAGAAAGAGTGAAAACGCGCGGCGCAGCGAGTCTGTGTGTGGACGCGCTGTGGAAAACCTGTTGAGTATATATAGAGATAGAGACCAGTGTGTGTTGCGTCTATATATCTTCTATGTAGAAAACTAGCGACGAAGAACCAGTGAGAGCCACGAATATCAGTGAGAGTGTGACGTTTCTCTCCCCAGTCCCCCTCGCTTCCACCCACGCACGTTTATATACACCCAGCACGAGTGACAGAAAAATCAAAAAAATTCCCCCGTAAATGTGAATGCTTAGTGCATAGTGACATAAATTTCGTGTGTGCGAGTGTTAAATGCGCACGTTGCCTCTAATATTATCTTGAAAATAAATTAAAACGAATTCGACTGTTATCGTCTCTGTGTCCGTGTCAGTGGCAGTGTGCATTCTCGCGAAAGCGGAGTGAGGAGAAGAAGAAAAGTGCAATAAATCATCGGCAAAAATGTCGACTACGATATCACCGACCATACCTGTGATTTGAGAGGAAAGCTTCTAATCTATTTTTATCGTAATTTTACATCGTCTGTAGAGGAAAGATATAGAGAATATTTTCAGTGTAAATAATAATAAAGTGCAAAACAAAGAAAAATGACAACGACCAACAATACATCGCATACACCGGAGGGCTTGCAAGCCGAAGTGAGAAGCGCTATCCGGGTGTTGCACGGCTGGTGTCCGAGACCGCCGCAACAGCAGCAGCAGCAGCAGCAGCAACAACAGCAGCAACAACAAATACAACCCCCACCGCCACCACCCCCGCTGCCACAACAACAGCAGTTACAGCACCAAGGTCCGATCAACCGTGGGGAAACTGTACTCATGCCGCCGCAAAGACCCCCTCGCCCAGCTGGTTCGGTGGTCGTTAGCTCGACCTCGAACGGTAGCAACGGCTCGATCGTCGTTAGCAGCAACGGCGTCGTTAACGGGATTGGCGGCCCTGGTGCGGTTGGTAGCCCTGGTCCTGCTAATCTGGTCGTGACCAATGGCACTGGCAGCAGTAATGCCAACAATACCGTCACCAATGGCGGTAGTATCATAAGTGGCGTCACCGTCAATGGTGGCAGCAGCAGCAGCAGCTCAGCCACTAATGGCGCTAGCAGTGCTGCCAACGTGAGCAACAACAACAACAGTAACAACAGCATGAGACCGCCGCCACCGCCACCCCCGAGGAACAGAAATTCCGGCGAGGGTAAAGCTCACCACGAGGAACCGACTAGCTCCATACCAGATTTAGGTGAGTTTCGGACAGTTTTCTTATTCCTAACACATTTTTGTAATGTTGAGCAAACATTTTTGAGGTTAGAATAACCGTAGTCGAAGTATAGACCTAACAGAAGGTTCTAACGCGCGCTTCGATGTATCATTTTAGGAATGAATCAGAAAATAAGTAAATCGATCGACAATTATTCAATGCGCAGTTGAAGTGTCAAGGCCAAGGTGTCCAATCATCTAATCATTGGCTTGACCGTATTCGTGTGTATCTTTCCGTCGCAGCGGATTGTTTTCCCATCTCTGTTGCCTCTCCTCTATCTCGCATCGATCGTTAAATACACTTGCGGGCTATCCTTCATACAACATAAATCAATTATAGAATTCCGTCCAAACGAAAGGAGATGAACGACAAGAGCTTCGAGCTCTCGTCGTCAATCGATTCGTATTCTATTATTTTTTGCGAGAAAGTAATCGCACGCTAATTTTGTCACCGACAGTACACTACGCTGCTGCGCTTCGTTCTTCGAATCGGATTTCGCGCGTCCTCCGTATTAACTCCACGCGTATAACGATAATATCTGCGTGATCGGGAAACGAGGTGGAGAGCGCGCGTGCCAGGCCACTATTGCCGGTGTCGCGTAACACACGTGCCCTCGCGCGCGCATTAGGGCAAACGCGGCGGCGCTATGTAATAACGAGCTCTCGCGGTGGCGGTAATGAGCTTCCTGTATTATCGCGTACATACACACGTTATTCGCGAGAGAGCGCGAGGCATCGAACGATGATCAGGAAGTACGAGCTCTGCCGCGTCCGAGTCAGCAAAGTCGGTGTAGCCTTCCTCTCTCTCTCTCTTTTTACTTCACGGGGCAATTCGTAATCGAGATAGAAGATCGTCACGGGAAGTATAAACTTATACAGAGAAAAAAAAGAAAAATGTATCAATCGAAGGAAAAAGATAAAAGCTCGTGCTTGTACGCGGCTCTGTACGCGGCTCTCTTATCGAATCTGTGTATTATTGTATAGCGTCGAGCGGCGAGTCAGTTGCGCGTGAAGCAGTTGCTGCTGTTGCTGCTGCATACACATGCATTCGGTCGATATAGATCGCCGATGCGGCAGCAGCAAACCCGCGTATCATGCAGTGTGCATTGCAAGCTGCATGTGTGTGTGTATGTGTATGTGTGTGTGCCGTACGCCGTGCTCCCGAGTGCCGGGGTCGTATATATATCTGTATATACGAGTGACTCTGACATTGGCCGTGCGCCCACGGAGTATGCGCGCGATTCTCTCGAGGTCATCGCTAGCTGCTACACACACACACACACACTCTCTCTGGCAACGCACACGCGCATCGACTTTATGTGCACGTAAACGAAGATATTCATGCAATCGCAAATCTGCACACTGTCGCGCTCGAGCTGCAGTTTACCTTTGCTTATACGCGATAAAGATATAGAACACACACAACTTCGCGCGATATATGTATACGCGACATAGTGAATTCCGTCGAAGCGGCTAATTGCACGAATCACACACCTATACGTATATCTGCATGTACGTATACATATAGGATCGGTCGATCATTCGACGATTGCACGACTGTGCACAGCGCGAACGGAAAAGTCTTTGTGTCAATGGGTCATGTGATATAATAAGCCCCGATGACATTCAGCTTTACGATCGAGTTTTCTGCTGCTATACTGCTGCTGACTATGCTTTACTAATTTGTCAGCAGCTATGCTCCTGCACTATATACGTATATGCTATATACATTAGGAAATTTTTCACGGAAATAAGCGCACGCGTATCTGTGCTCGATGCATACATATTAAAGGTGCATATGTGGGTAAGTCGTATATCGAGTAGATTATCGATCTCGTCGTCGAGTCCAGTAACGCTATAATGAGCCTCGCGGGTATGCAACAAGTTACACCGCTCGATAATCGCACTCGCGGCTGCTTCGCGCACGAGCCACGTACGTGTGCTATCCTCTCGACAATAGCCTCGAGTCACACACGAGCCGCGACCAGATTCACGGCAATTCCAGACGAGCGATGCGCATAATAATAAATATGTATTCCTTATCGTTTTTATCCGCCACTGAATCGATGCATGTATACATCAACATATATTTATGTATTGTATGCAATTGCCATGCTGCAGCGACTCCGATTGCGAATTCATCGCACGATTACGACGAGTTCACACATCTATGATATGCACACGCGCGCGAGCGTTAATGAGCTCGAAAGCGTCGCTCTCCGCGATGCGCTCGTGAGTCGTGACCGTGCACGATAATACGATGATACGACGAAGGTCGCGTGAAGCATATTGTAGCAAACTCGCGAGGCGCCCCGCGAGTATGTGTGTGTGTGTGCACATTATATTATATTGGAGGATCATCCGCGCAATTAGGCGCGTGCGCTGCGTGACACATCACGCATGATCGCATCGATCGCCAAGATTATACGCGCAAAGAAAAAAGAGAAAAAAATCAGTGCACTTGTCTGGAAGATTTACGCCAGCAGAGATATTGTATGCATAACTTTTTTTCTCCAATTTTATACGAACGATAACTTGATGACTATAATGACTGAAAAAAAATGAGCTAGATTTTCCATCAAAGTTCAGTAATTCGGCAATCCGCGCGATTACGAACAATTCAATGTGGCGCAGAGAAGATGTTTGTGCGATCGCGACGAGTATTATGCACGCGCGATAAATTTGCGTTGTTACAGCGCACACATGTGCTCGCGATGCAAAACGTGACATCGATCACTTTTACCTTCTTTTATTTTTTTCGTTTTATTTTTTTTTATTTTCGACTCTTTTGCTTTTAATTTAACACGCGCGCTCCTCGAGCCACGCTATAATTAGCGCGAATCAGCTCCGCGTTACGTCGAACGACATTCGATATTACACATGGATATATAGCGTTATTAGAGTGCACGAGAACGTGTGTGCAGCACACACCTTCGCTCGACTCGACTGAATAAATAAACGAAAGCGTAGCAGTCGAATTATTATTATAAAAAGCGCGGCGTTTCAAGTTCAAGATCGAGCGCGAGGCGGCGGCTCATAGCCCAATATGTGCTAGCGAGTGACTTTGGAAAATGTCAAATGGCTTCGTGAACGATATTACTATCAGATATATCATGCATAAGCTCGCCTTATTTTTGTATGTATTTTTTTCCTTCTTGAAGAGAGAAAAAGAAAAGAAGGTTTTATCTCATACCTTTAGGTAATTGACGAGTACATTGCGAACACGTAGTTTCTTGCTTCCCGTGCTCTTCGCGAATTTCGTCGAGTCGGTTACATATGCACAATAAATGCATGCGTAATGTCTAATATATACAATATATGCATCTAGATAAACGCGGAAGTTCTAGAGGTATAGTGCAATGTACACATACAGCAAGGACGCCTGTTCCATATACGAGCTCGTCGAGCACATCAATTTTATTTTAATTTTTTTTTTCCTTTTTTTTGTCGTTGCAAACTTCAACGACTCGTTTTCTGTCTCAGTCAGAAGCAGATAAATGCGATTTTGATCGTCGCATGCGATTCTCTCAATTTTGTTCCGACGATGCGTTTGTGACGTGCCTTACATCCTTGCGTTATACTCGAAACAAGGTACTCTATACCTTTGTAATTCGCACCTCGAAGCTCGCGCGCTAGTATCGCATTTTTATCTCTTGCTCTAATCGAATCGCAGAAGGAAAAAGAGGTGCGCGAGCGAGCGAGCAGCAGAGTCGCGTGGTGCTATATGTCTAACATATGTGTATAACAACGCACGTGCGACCTCGCGTGCTATACACATCTGTACAACGGCAACATCGGCAGAGAGCGGCGGCGTATTTGGCGGGTAACATCGACTCGGTCAATGTATATGTTGCATATCGCACACACATAAGCGGACGCACACAAACTCATAAAACGTATACGTAATCATAAATAAACTAGCGGAGCTCTCGCAGTCTGCCGCTGCAGCTGCTACCTCGATACCTGTAGAGCTGCTCGTGTGCGCTCGGTGGCTTTTCCTGATAGTTTTCAGAATCCTTCACGGTCACGGTCGCGCCTGGCGTCATCGCCGCTGCTGCCGCACACGCCTCTTTATATTTAGCATTAGTGAACTCGCGCGAGAGCTTTTGTTGCTAGCTGTATAGCTGCAATGTCGTCCTATACGCATGCACGAGTGGGTGGGGGAGAGGAAAGGGATTGGGCTGTAGGGAGGAGGCAGCAGCGGGAAAGGGTATGTGCGTAGAGGGCGTTTTCAGATCGCCTTTCAAAATTGCCAGATATACTTTGAACAAAACATTTTCAAGTTCAGTTGCCTTTTCTTTGATTGTTTATATAGACCACGAGTCGATTGTGTTTTCTCACGTTGTCTCAGACATCAGTTGTACACCTGTAATACGATGTTCTTATAAATATGCATTAAAGCGCCGAATCGGCTCTTCCCCTTCCTTTACTTTCTCTTGCCTTCATTTGCTACGCTAAGCTGGCACTTATCAATATAAAACATTTCGGTTTAAAATTAGCTTTTTTAACGTTACATAGAATTTGACATTGAGGTATTTTTGTAACTCCGTCGGTAGAAATTAATGGGAAAAAAGCAACGGTGCAAGCAGCTACAATGCTATATAATTAATAATTATCGAATGATTCAACGATCGAGCAGAGCTACGCTCGATAGGTCGCTCGATTTTTTTTCTTCTTCTCGACTCAATCGACTTCAAAAAGTCGTTGTTATTGATCTCCGCTAAGAAAACTAGACCAGAAGACCTAAAAATATAATACTGCACACAGACAGACACGTTAAATAAGATAAATAGAAATTAATAACACGGCCGATGACACGTGCCAATAACACTTCGCTGGCGCCACGGAAAAACTTTTCCAATGCAACGCCAGCATAATACATGTGTTAGAGTGTGCATATATATGTGTCTTAGCTCTGCAAAAGCTCGTACAACAGCGGCTCGAGTGTGTGTATGCGCGCGCGTCGGTGTATGTATCGGAGCG